CAACAGCCAACACAACAATAGCCATTCACTGTGAATGAATCACAGTTATACCTAATTTTCTTTTGTCAGATCAGCAAAAAATATGATATATTTTTTGGCGTGCTATAGAATTTTAGTAATTAGTTTATGTGTGCCATGAGATGAAAAAGGTTGAAAATCGCTGCCTTAGATGGTCAAGTACAAAAGTGACAACAGCCAACACAGTAACCATCTGGTATGAATGCCCTGTCTTGAACTGTAAATGTATAGGTCATATAATAGAGTTGTATCTTATTGGTGACATCCCGTAATAAGCTTGTGTCTGATTGGTTATTTCTTGGTACCAGAAATCCTTATATACAAATATAGGCACCTGATTTTTTAAAAAGTCATCTTGGAGCAAAAGGGTAGGTAATTACTATTATTATTTTTTGTAAATCAATCAAAATTAAACCTATTTTTTGTCAGATTGGCAAAAAATATGTTGTTTTGGTGTGCCACAGAATTTTAGTAATTAGTGTATGGGTGCCATGAGACAAAAAGGTTGAAAATTGCTGATCTAGAAACAGATACGTTGGCTCCTAATAAATAATCTGAAAATGTTAGGGTAAATTCTTATTAATATTGTTATTATTGTTTGATTCATCATAATCCTCACCCTCATTCCTACCTTCATATCCCCTTCCTGGCAAATCCCTATGTATCCTCAGTATTGAGTTTATTGTCATCTTGTCTCAGCGAAACCTTTCCTAACTCTCATGCAGAATGTATCCCTCCCTCCCTTCGTTACAGTACCTCTAATACAGTCTCAGGATGAGAGGCACTGTGTTGAATCAATAAAAAGTGACTACCACCAGAGATTCACTGCCCTCACCCCCACCACTTTTACCCATAAACCTTTTCTGGTTTCCCCTTGGAATCTCACGAGTCCTACTACATGAGGACTGATGACCCCCTGATGTTATTTCTGTAAATCTAGACAGTGTAGTGCCTACCATTCTCCTTTTACCACCTTCGCCCACTTCTGGGGGAGTCTATCTCCATCACAACTTCTCCCATCAGAGTGGGATGCTCAGCTCTGATAGCAATTAGTGTATGTGGCTTTATTGTATTATAAAGGATTATCTGTTTATGTTATAATTATCTGCTTACATACTTATCTTCCCCACCACACTATGAGCTCCACAGAACTTTTTCATGTTTGTAGTCATAGTGCCTTGTAAGTGTTGGCCACAAAACAGGCAGTCGTTACAGTTTCTTTTTCGAATGAATGAATGAATTAATGATTTTCATTTATGAATTGGGGCAATCAGCTATCACCTTCTGCTGATAAATTCTGCTACTTTAATAAAGCTATAATCTCTAGGAGATAGTGCAATTTGGCAGAAATACCCTGAAGTAGGAGTAAGAAGGTGAATTCTCTAACCTGGGCGAACCACTTCTCTGTACCTTGGTTTCCTGAGTTGTTACAGAAAATGAGACACTACTTTGTCCATTGAAAGATCCTTAACAGATGTAAACTGGACTATTGTTCTGGAGAATAAGCACATTTTACTACGACTGCTGTGCTTTGATGTACTATCTATGTTGTTTTACAAAATTTCTATGATAGTTAAAAATTTGTGAGAAAAGAGATGTAACTGTAAGTCAGTCTGTCATATCAGAGTACAAATGTTTGAAAAATAATAAGCATAATTTAAAATTTTTATTTTAGAGTCTCATCATTTCCTTTTTTGTTTGTTTTTTAATTTTGAATTTATTGGGGTAGCATTGGTTAATAGAGATATATAGATTTCAGGTGTACAATTTTATAATACATCATCTGTATATTATATTGTCTGTTCACCACCCAAAATCAGGTCTCCTTTGTCACCATTTATCCCCTTTTTACCCTATTCTATCTTCCCCCACCCCCATTTCCCTCTGGTCACCACCATACTGTTGTTTGTGTCTATGAGGTTTTTTGTTTTGTTTTTGCTTAATCCCTTCACCTTTTTCGCCCAGCCCCTCTACTCCCCTCCTCTCCTCTAGCAGCCTATTCTCTATCTGTATTGTTTTCACTTATTTATGACTTTTGTGCACGCTTCATTTCATTACCCCTCACAGCTTGAATTCCAGATTCACCTTTTATATTACTTTTAAGTTTTAGGTACAATTTTATATGTATGTATATCTTTATTGATTTCAGAGAGAGGGAGAGGGAGAGAGAGAGATAGAAGCATCAATGATGAGAGAGTCATCACTGATCAGCTGCCTCCTGCACACCCCTGACTGGGGATCGAGCCCGCAACCCCGGGCATGTGCCCTGACCAGGAATCCAACTGCGATCTCCTGGATCCTAGGTTGAAGCTCAACTGCTGGGCCATGCCTAGCTAGGCTAGGTACACTTTTATTATCATTATTTCAGTGGTTTTTGCTCTTGCATTTCCTTAATATTTTCCTGTTAAATGTATTTTAGTAAATAAGTCCAGTTGAGCAGAACAATGGATACTGTATGCATCATGGTCTTGAAATATAGTCTTTGTTTTTTTATAAAATGTAAAAATCAGTATTTTTTACTAACTGGTAACATCTTATATATGCTGTTTGATAAGCCATTCAACCTCTTTGTGATTTACTTTCAATATCTATAAAATTGGGATAACATCTCAATATGATAAAATGAGATAGCTCTCTGTAACTTTAAAAAGTTTTCTGCGCATAGTAAATGCTCATTAAAAGTTGATTTTAATTGTTACTGTTGATGGTGATAGTGGTAATGTACCAATGGTTTGTTTTCAGCGTTTTCCATATGTGACTAATTGTTCATTTTAACCCTGGAGTAGCACTGAGACCATTAATTTTTTATTGCTACTGATATTTCTCTATATTTATTCCCACTTTATCATGGCAATTTGATGTTGCTTTTTTTCTTTTTCTAAATCTCAATTAAACTTTAGGATAAATAATAGACAGTAATGTATGTCTGATTGTTGAATGCAGAATTGAATGACAGCAAGAAAATGTCAAAAGGCTTTTTAAGTAATATAGTTTAAGAATACATGTCGGAGCTCTTATTTTACTCATTGAAAAACATCTGCTTAATGGAGATTTAAGTCTATCAAAGTCAGTCTGTTCATCTGCTATTATATTCCACTTGACTATTAAAATTTCACTTTTTACATTTGCAATAACTTCCACACTTTCTGATTTTTATATCAGATTCTTATAGTGTAGCACCTTCCCTCTAGAAATTTAGGAGATATTTTGAAGTAAATTCTAGTGGATAATATATCTTTAAAAGTTTATTATGATTTTGAGGTGAGTATAGATGACAAACTTTAGGAAAATAAATCACTTGCTTTTTTTTTTTTTACCACATTCAGTTTGCAATTAATGGTGGTAAATGTTTAGTAAGTGGGAAATGTTACAAGTAGCAGAGTAGTTTACACAGCCTTTCTGAATATATTCTTCCAGTTAGAGCTGCTGCATACGTTAAAACTTTTATGATTTTAGTCACTATCTGCTGAAATTTCAAATTTGAGGCATATTATGTTTATACTGAAAGAACAAAACTGAAATTATGTAATTATCTAATTGAATCAATTATCTAATTGAAACAGTATTCACTGTTTCACAGTAAAAGTTGCTTTATAGTGTCACTCATTTTAAACCATTTAATCAAAGTTTCTTACGCTACATCATGTCTGAGTTACTGAAGCTTTAGTTTTTAAAAATCTAAGTAGTGTAGTGGTAGAAGTTGAACTCCACTTATTCATAGTTCACCAACATTTCCGTTATTAGAATTTGCATCTTATTTTCTTAGCCATAGCATTTAAATATATTAATTTTGATCATAAAGGTAATTATGTACTTATTCTCACCTCACTCCTTAAGGTATCTGCCATAATTTGCTTAATCATGTCCACATCTGCTTTTAAGCTTCCCAGTTTCATTATGCAAACTTTGTAATGACCATAACAGGTTTTTATGTTATTTTGAATAATTAGCCTTGAGAAAAAACATATAATTACAGGATGAAGAAGTATATTGAGTGATTCTTAGAGCATTAGTAATGTACTTTTTAAAAAAAATATATCTTTATTGATTTCAGAGAGAGGAAAGGAGAGGGAGAGAGAGACAGAAACATCAATGATGAGAGAGTCATTGATCGAGCCCACAACCCGGGCATGTGCCCTGACCAGGAATCGAAACCCGATCGCCTGGATCCCAGGTCGACGCTCAACCGCTGAGCCACGCCCGGCCGGGCAGCAATGTACTTTCAAGGAACCAAAGAGTTGGCAATACTGATTTTTATAGCTAATTTCATTCAAAAGTGATAATATTCCTTCTTGGTGGAGATTTATCACTATTTTTGTCTGATCAGATAGGATCAGTGTCATTAAGAAAAGGAAAAAGGTTTTCCTGAAGAAATTGTTAAGAATTGAAAGGAGAAGAGGGAAGGGGGGGAGGGGAGAGAGGACCGAAGATTGTGGGTGGAATTAACTGACATTAGGAGGTGTAGGGGCTTGCTGTGTTCTAGAGAGCCCCAGAGAGGAGGTGAGAAGGTGGTGGGAAAGAGAGTAGGGATTAATAGCACTGTCTACACTCCATGAAGATGCTTTTGGCACAAGGCAACCTTTTTGCTATTTGGAGCCTTTTAGGTGTATGGATTAAAAGGGAGAAAATGTGTAGTTATATATCAACAGGGAATGTGTAAATCAGATGCTCACAACTTAGTAAAAGCACTGATGATGCTTTCATGCCACTTAGGGAACACCTTTGTAATGAATGGTATGGAAATACTAATGTACTAGGCATATTTAACATTTTCTTGTTTATTTTCTTACTTTGTACATTTATGTCTCACTGTTAACATCTGAAAAGTAGAGATGATAGGATCCAGCTGTACCATGTTAAAATGTGTCATTAATTATCATGGATACTTTGAAAATAAAAGACTAACAAATATTAATTTGATTTAAGGGACCAGTCGAAGCTTTTTCAGTTCATAACTTCAATTTATGTTTCTTTTAAATAAGTTTCATAGGAGAATTTACAAAGGGATACCGCTCCAGCTCCGAGGTGAAGTCTGGGCTCTGCTTCTTGAGATCCCTAAAATGAAAGAAGAAACAAAGGGCCTTTATACTGTGAGTGTCTGAAGCCAACCTGTTATTTTGAAATTCATAAGTAAAATCTATTTCTTTTAGCATTCAAGGTGATGTAAGATATTCATATCATCATTTGACATTATATTAAAATGATACTATATTGGGTTTTTATAGGGATATTATCTGTTTTCTTGATTGCTTTGTTTATCCTAAATTTCAAACAGATACTTCAGTAAAAATGTTATTCTCTGTATCAATCAGTAAGTAGCAAGTGTTTTTCAAATACTTGAAACCATCAATCAGTGTTGGCCATATTCAGAAGAAAAATTGACTAAGACCTGATTGTAGCTACTTGTTTTCAATGTAGTATTAATAAAGAGATTTACAGTGTAACTTTTAGAGTTATGGGAAAATAATAGAATTCAGTTTATCCAGCAACTGCCTGCATATGATTGACTGTTTTCTTCTAAATATGAAAAAGAAGATGTCTTCCTGAAGATTATTAGGGTAACTCTAGGTTTTATTATTTATTAATAAAAAGTTAAACTGTGACTCAGTGATCAGTCACCTGTGCCTTAAATTACTTAATGCATTAAATCTGCTTCTTTGTTATCTCAGCTATTTCCCTTCGAAACCTAAATTTTATATCTTTGAAAGGAGTAAGAAACATATCTAAAAATCAGTTTGAAATATGTTCCTCAGAAAATGTATGTAAATAGAGTAAGTTAGAATAAATGAAAAAAAGAAAAGCTGTAATTTAAACCAAATTTCAGTTATAAAAGGGGCTTTGGAATGCTCTTTTGATATATTCTTTTTAATAAATGTAAAATTTCATCAAGATAAAGGTAATAAATACTATTTCACTTAATAAATTACTCATTTTGTATAAGATTTTTAAAATTAGCCAATTGGACTCTACACAGACTATAAGTTTATGTCTCATGATTTTAGAATTTCAAATTATTTTAGACTGATGATTAAATATTTGCTTGTAGTGTCATAGTTGTGCAGCCAGTATTGAAAATGATGCCTGAGAGAACATATATAAAATCTAACCTCAGTACCTCCTAAGTGTGCCTGGCATGTGATATGTGCTCAATAAATATTTGTTTAATAAAAGAAGTAAATTACTTTTTTTTAAAATCCTCACTTGAGGACATTTTTTCCATTCCTTTTTCAGAGAGAGAGAGAGAAACAAACAAACATCGATGTGAGAGACACATCGATTAGTTGCCTTCCGAATGCACCCCAACCAGGGACAGGCATCGAGCCTGCAACCGAGGTACATGCCCTTGATTGGAATTGATCCTGCGACCCTTCAGTTCATAGGCCAATGCTCTAACCACACTGGCACTGGCCAGGGCAGTAAATTACGTTTATTCAGCATGTGGTATTCGTGTCCTATGGCCGACATAACAAAGTACCACAAACAGTGGAGATTTATTCTCTCACAATTGTGGAGGAGACCGTCTGAAACTAAGGTTCATCAGGACCCTGTTCTCTTTCACAGCGCTAGGTTAGAATATTCCCTGACTCCCTAGATTCTGGTGGTTGCCAGCAACCCTTGGTGTTCGTTGACTTGTATCTGCGTCACTCTGATTTCTGCCTTCATCTTCACATGGCCTTCTTCCCTGTGTGTGTTTCTGTGTCTGCCAAGGGCCATTTGGATATTTATAACGTCATTTGCGGGCCATACAAAATTATCAACTAAAAATTAGCTATGCCTGGCCGGGCGTGGATCAGCGGTTAAGCGTCGACCTAGGATCCAGGCGATCAGGGTTCAATTCTCGGTCAGGGCACATGCCCGGGTTGCGGGCTGCAGCCGATCAATGACTCTCTCATCATTGATGTTTCTAGCTCTCTCTCTCCCTCTTCTTTCCTCTCTCTGAAATCAATAAAGATATATTTAAAAAAAAAAATTAGCTATGAAAAAAGCTCCTAGACTTACTGAATTTTGAGCCCCACCTGTGGTTGCCCTGGTAGGGACAGACCAAAGGATTTTGCGCGCCGTACACCGGACTTTCCCCACCCNATGAAAAAAGCTCCTAGACTTATTGAATTTTGAGCCCCACCTGTGGTTGCCCTGGCAGGGACAGACCAAAGGATTTTGCGCGCCGTACACCGGACTTTCCCCACCCCTGCCTTACAAGGACACCTGTCACTGAATTTAGGGTCTACCCTAATCCAGTACGAACTCATCTTAATTTGATTGCATCTGCAAAGACCCTGTTTTCAAATAGGGTCATATTCATAGGTTCTGGGTAAACATGAATTTTAGAGAGAGACTGTTCAACCCAGTATACATGCTAATATTAGAACTATGGTTTTCAGTTATATATATTAGACCTTTTCTACATAGAATAAGATTTCTTCCAGTGACTGGTTAATGTGAGAGAACTACTTAGTGAAAACCAGTCATACAGTGACAGCAAGAGAAATGACTTGCTCACCAAGACTTTCAAGCTTACAGTTTTTAACACTGTCATAAACATTATTTTTACTCTGAGTTTCCCCCAGAGTCATGATTTAACCACGTCTTCTTTTCCTGTCCATCTTTCTCCCTCTGCCTTTGCAAAAGTGGTGTGAATTGTTCTCCTCAAGTTGGAAAACTTAGTAGAAGTAAAACTACCTTTTCTTAATCTACAAAAGTTTTTCTCAGATTGTCAAATTGTCCTGGCTCCTGACCTGGTGTTCTCGCCTATTCTCTTATTCTTTTAATTGTGTCTCATCGTTATTATTTTTATTTTTATTTATTTTATTTTTTCCATCACCATTTATTCCCCCATGCCCTCTTCCACCTCCACCCCCTGAAATCACCACACTGTTGTCCCTGTCCATGAGTTCTCTCCTTTTTTCCCTTTTTTGCTTAATCCCTTCACACCACCCCCATATCACCACGCCCCCCGAGTTGTCTGCCTGCTCTCTATCTATGAATCTGTCACTATTTTGCTTGTTTGTTCAGTTTATTCATTAAATTCCACATATGAGTGAAATTATAGGGTACTTGTCTTTCTCTGACTGGCTTATTTCACTTAGCAGAATGTTCTCCAGGATTTGGAAGCAGTCCAAGTGCTCATCAGTAGATGAGTAGATAAAAAAAAGCTGTGGTACATTTACACAATGGAATACTGCTCTGCCATGGAAAGGAAGAAAACTTTACCCTTTGCAACAGCGTGGCTAGACCTGGGAACATTCTGTCTCACCATTATTTGTCTCCCTCGGGCCTAGTGATATGTCCTGCAGATGGTAGAGGTTCCAGTCCATAGTGGTTACCAGCCTCATCTACAGCCTTCGTGGGGTTTAATAATCTTGTAGGCCGAACACACAGTGCTAATTTTCCATCTGAATGTTTTCCACACAACTTCTGTCCTCAGTTTTATAGGTTCATTAGATCCTATTTTTTTCAAATAAGATGTTTATTTTTATATTATTGTGACACTCATGGATCTTAGCCCACCCAGTCTCAGAGATAACTGTAGGAGCTGCTACCTCCTTTCATCAAGATAAGAAGCATGCTTGATTTCTTGTATTCTGCACATTAACTTGTAAACATTCTAGGGTGTAAATAATCTTTCTGACCAATTTTTTTTTTTTTTTTACTGACTCAACTGGACTTTGTTTCTATCATGAAGGGTTTTTTTGTTGGAGTTTCTTTTCTTCTAGAGAAACTGACATTATAAATGTGTTCGGGTGTTTTTCTCCCTTTCAACTGAATTTTATGTAAAGTCTATTTTATTATGTTTTGTCAAACATTTTCTTTCTGTGTTTTGACATCTTATCTTTTACCTGGAGGCTTATAGAACAACAATTGAATCTCTTTATTACCCATTACACCCCCTCCCCCGATATTTAAAGAACAAATATATAAAGATTATTTTTAAAGCTAAATTTTTGTAATGTCTTCTGTACTAACTTATATCAGAAATAGCATACAATAATACTGTAGTGTGGTATGATTCCAGCACAACACTCGATAAGTATCGTCCTCTGTCCTTGGAACTCTGAAGTGTACTGTGGTTACTTTGTATTTTTTAGAAAGCTACAGAGCTGCTTTTCTCTAAGCTCCACCTCAAAACACAAAACTACATATACAAAACACTTAACATACCCACAGATCCAAGATACCCCTCCTCTTTTCACTTTTAGCTTAAGTCTGGAATTAACAGTTATGTTTTTATGTATATCTTTGGAATTGATTTTAGCAGAAGTATATATTACCAGCACAGACATGGTCAGTGGATCAATATAACATATGTGTATAGATGCTTAATGATATGTAAGCATGGGTAAGTATAAATTATATAAATTTTAATCCCCCATCTGGTTAAAAGTGGGTGATTAAACATACTCATTTAGTGCCCCTAAATTGTGAAATGCCACTAAGTTGTCAGCAGAGAGCATTTTAAAAGGCAAACCCATAAGAAAGAGAAAACAGGAGAGATAACAGCTACCAATTTTTGGAAACCAGAATTCAGACAAATACTTAGTAATCTCAGCAAACCAGAGAAAACTAATCATAGGCTAGCAGTGAGAAATTGGAGAAGTACTTGATTTATATCTCAAAATCTCCAAAAGTCTAGATAATTGCCAATATCGGGTACCTCTGGAAGTAGAAGTGAAGCTAAAAACAGTAGAAATGGTTAAAAGTCCATTGCAGAAGCAGTTAAAGCCCCTAAGTCTCCTTCCCCAACCCTGGCAGGAGGTTGGAGGTTTACTGTTTGGACAGGGCTCTCTGGGCTGGAGAACACAGGCATTGCTGAGGATGGGGCTGCTGTAGTGAAAGCACAGAAGAATTGAATATCCTGAATTTGGAGCATTGCAGCCTTTCCCTCCACTCGGCTCCCAGAGCATCGACAGCTGGGTGCTTGTCTTTTTGTCAAGAGATCAGAAGAACTTCCTCAGGGGAATCTGACCAGCCTAAGAAAATGAACCCAAAGATACTAACTTCAGGGGAACCCCAGTGAAACTGCTCAGCCAGTGAAGACACAGTTGTGAATCCCCACCTCTCCAGACAGAGCTTCCATCAGTTTTTAGTCTCCTACTTTTAAATATAAGGAGACAATGAAATATCACTGTTCATTTTAAGAGAGGAGCTAATACGAAAGACAAATGAGAACAAGTGGAAAAAAGCAACTTGTAAGAAGCAGACTGTAGCACAAGTAGAAAACTAAAAAAACCCTATCATTAATATTTTTATCAGAGGGCTAAAAATAGATATTGCATCCATAAAGCAAGTATAGAATGCTATAAAAAGGAACACTTGAGAACAACAGATTTTTTAAAATATAAAAATGATAATAAGAATGAAAGATCCTAGAGGAGGATTTGAAAATAATAATTGAAGAAATTTCCCAGAAAGTAGATTATAAAGTCAAAGGGATGGAAAATAATAGAGAAAATATAAGAAAATTAAATGACAGCCCAGGAGGCCCCACACTGTAATAATAAGAGTTCCAGAAAGAGAAAATAGGAATGTGGGAGGGGAGGCTGGGGAAATCAACAAAGGAATTACTGAAGAAAATTTTTCAGAACTGAGAGATGCTTGAGTTTTTAAGATTGAAAATGTTCATCAAGTGACCAACCCTGTGGATAAAAATAGATCCAAACCAAGCACAGAAATGTGAAGTTTCAGACATGGAGAAAGAAACTCCTATAAGCTTCTAGAGAGAAAAAACAGACTACAGACTTCATATAAAGAAGCATAAATTAGAATGGAAACACTGGAAGTTAGAAGACAATGAAGCAGTGCCTTTTGAGCAAAAATATTTTCCAACTAGAATTCAAAATGGCCAGATAGTTAAGAAAGAAGGTAGCTATCAGACATTCAAAGTTTCAGAAAATGTGTCTTCCATATACCCTTTCACAGGAGTTACTGGAGGATGTGCTCCTCCAGAACAAGGGAATAAACCCGGAAAGAAGAGTGAAATGCAGGAAACAGGGAACCCAAGCAAGGGGAGACCTAGCAGATGATAAAGGGAGACCCCAAGACACCAGCTGTGTCGCAGCCCAAACATGAGCAGGTCACAAAGCTCTGGGAGCGATGTCTGCAAGAAGTTGAAATTGGGAGAATACCCCTTCTATTTGAACATTGCCAGAGGAGATTTATGCAATTTAAAGTGAGTTTGGGATTGAATTAGTGACAACTATGTAGAAAAAAAGCAAATCAAGAAATAATGCAATGATCAGCTCTAAGGAAAACAATATTGTGTTGGAAAGAAAAAAGAAATAGTGGACTGCGTGACTCAGCTGTGAAGAGCTTTTGCATAGTCCTAGCAGTGCAAACTCCACGAAGTTCTCTATCCCAAATTAAAATCTACCACTCTTGATAGGACAGGAGGGAAAAGAGGGGATCGGAAAAGGGAGGGGATGGGAGTAGGAGAGATGGGGCATGGCTGGGAGAGAAACTTTATTGTGTGCCTTTTATGTTGTTTCCATGTTTGAACCATTTTCTTAAACCAAAAAACTTTTAAAATGAGAATTATTTTACTATTTGTCATAGACTTTTCAACAGCTGATTTCCATAAAAATTTGCTTTCTTCCCTTCTTTTTCCTCTTCAGAAATTAAAGCACAGAGCACGTGGTTGTTCACCTGATATCAGACAAATAGACCTTGATGTGAACCGTACATTCAGGGACCATATTATGTTTAGAGACAGATATGGTGTTAAGTAAGTAAAGTTTAATAGTATGCAATGTAAATAGCATTTACAAATAGGCTGTGTTAAAATCTTTACTAACTTAAAGACTAATCTTCATTCAGGTCCCAAAGGTTTAAACTTTTGCAGATCATTTGGTTCAGTGTGAAACTAAGGTTCAAATTTAACTTAAATTTTTGACATAGTTGGTGCTATAAAATTGACAAAGAATCATTTTATGATTTGTGAATTCTTAAAACTATGGTACTTTATTAAAAGTCTTAGAAAAGAAATGAGAGATTGTGTTGCTTTTTGAGAACTGTGCCAGTGATAAATACATCCCTATAACCTAGACCCCATACATAGATGAAACTTAAAAAAAAAAAAGGGAAATGAATGAATGAAATGGACTGTGACTGTTTATGAATGAAAGATAAAGTTTTGCTGACCTCTGTATTGGTTAGGGTTCAACCAGAGAAACAGAAACCAGTAAGAGATATATATCAAAGAGAATTATTGTGAGGAATTGGCTTGCACAGTTGTGGGGGCTGACTAGGCAGGTCTGAGATCCATAGAGCAGGCCATCAGGAAGAGCAGCTGGGACTCTTGGGCTTGAGCTGAAGCTTTTGTCCCAGGAGGAATTTCTTCAGGGAAGCCCGAGATCTGCTCTTGAAGCCTGTTAACTGATTGAATCAGGCCCACCCCCATTATCTAGGATGATCTGACTTAAAGTCAACTGATTATGGATTTTAAGCACATGTGCAAAATGCTTCTTTATAGCAACACCTAGATTAGTGTTTCAATAACTAGGTGTTGTAACCTAGCCAAGTTGACAAATTTGACCATCACTGTCAACCCTTGTCAATTTAATTTCCAAATAAAGACAATAACAAAGTTTTACTTCGGCCTAACTGTTCTACTTATGACTGCATATGTTAACCCTTTCCCCACAAGAGGATGCCTGTTCACTGTTCTGCTTTGATATTCTGTAAGCTAATTTCTGTGATATAAAGTTAACTAGTGTTAATATATCTCATGTGAGATGATAAGGGAAAAGAGAAGGAAGAAAATAAAATATTTTTAACATATATACAAACATATACCTAAGGAAGAAATAGTCATCGTTTCTACAACTGGGCATGTGGTCATAGCTGGTTTATAACTCTTTCCACTACCCATTCCGTACTTCCTTTGCTCTCAGCCAAGTACCTCTGCTCGTTGTGGTTATGTACCTGGTGGGGCGACCTAAACCTTTATTCCGAAAGGATTTGGACCACTAGCAATCCAGCCTGAATTGGATTGTTGTAGTTTTCCATTAAGTTGAATCACAGGTTTTGATGATGCTAAGAGACACCCTAGATGTTCTACTATATTTTAGACATACTCTTCCTTACGTCCATTGTGTAGTAGCAACTCAGTTTTCCCTCCATAACCAGGATCAGTTACCCCAGCCATACAGTCACCTCCTTCTTTGCCTGTTGATTCAAAGGCATGAGGAGCCCTAAGTGTTTGGGTGGCAGTCTCACCTTCCAGTTCAGTGAATCATTGTTGCATATCCTGGTGGAAGCCTTCCTCTCTTTGAAACGAAGACCTCCAGACTGCCAGAGAGCCTAAGGTTGATGGGAAGGGAAACAAACATTTTGCTGGTGGAATACCAGAGATAATAGTGGGTGGAGCCCTTCCCATTCCCACCCCTTCAATCTTGGACCCCTGAATCCTGGCTATGGGAGAGACAGCACCATATGTTGGAGGCTGATTTAGAGCATATACAGCCTTCTGGAGGACGTTGTCCAGCCTTACAGGTATTGCACCTAGCTGGCACTGAAACTGAGGCCATTGCATGATTCCATCAAGCCAGTTGCTTTCATGGAGATGAATCTATAGTGAGAATAGTTCCATGAAAGAAGGTAACAAATTTAAGAAATCATAAAGCCTTTTGTGTTTTTCGGTATAAATTCTTTCTATTAAAATGAATACTATCTAACCTCAAATTTATACCGTATAGAATATTGTTAAAATTTGAGCTTGGGATCATTTCTTTATTATATTAGTAATTTTATGTGGATTTTCTATTTTCTGTCGACCTTAATTTTTAAAATTAAAAAATTTTAAAAATAACTAAATTGTCTTCAATATGAATTTTCTTTTCCTCTAGGCAGCAGTCCCTCTTCCACGTTCTCGCTGCATATTCTATTTACAATACGGTAAGNGTTTATAATTTTTAAAATAACTAAATTGTCTTCAATATGAATTTTCTTTTCCTCTAGGCAGCAGTCCCTCTTCCACGTTCTCGCTGCATATTCTATTTACAATACGGTAAGTTGGAGCATGCGTGCCTGTAGCTCTCTGAGGTGTATTCTGAGGAACAGGAGAAATCGTTCAGCACTCCCTTCCTGACAAGGCCCTTTTGGGCTGTTTCTTCATCTCAGGACTAGTTAGTCTCCACAGTCTTTGAGCTCTGTGGATCTTTCCAAGGCTTCTTACAGTGACCCTGGGCCTTAGAGCAAAGCTGATTTGGAAGTGGGAAAAACCCATAGCATGTCAGTGAATCTCACTTTTTCCCTCTTTCTCCAGACTGTTTTATTATTCTTGTGTTGTTTGTTTTGTTTTTATTTTAAGCAAATAGGACTGGGAATGAGCAGGGCTAGAAGGACAGGAAGTTGGTAGCTAGATTAATTTTTGCTTTACATTTTATCCATTCAGTGAGGTTCAACTAGGATACCACCTGTGCCTACTTGCTATTCCCAAGAGCAGGCTAAGACTAACTTTTCTGGGGAGATGATAATGTAGGGAAAGATCAATTAGGGTTGAACCTAATTTGTATGTTAAATAAATGCTTGTTGACTAGGTTTCAGGGAGGACAGCCTTCAACCTTGAGATATGGCATTTCTATTGTAATGAAAACCTTTAAGTTACAAGGAACAGAAATCTCAAACTACGGCAAGTTGAAAAGGAGTTTATTAAAGGGACTTCTCATAGAAATGAAGCAATAGTTGGGCCTTGTGGGAATTGGAGCTGGAAAGTGCGAAGCCTTCAGTGAGAAAGAGCTACACTTTTTCTCTCTTCCACTTGGGCCACACATTGACTGATTATCTCTGTAAACTGTTTATTCCAATATTTCTCTCTCCAGATTGCTTTCTTTGCCTACTTGTCAGTTTTTCCATGGCTAAAATTGCACCCATAGATTCAACGTGACCACTCTATTTCAGACCACATCTGATTATAGTCTCTGTGGCTTTATTTAGATTTCCTAGAAAGAGATTGTAATTAGCCGGTGCAGCCAATTAATCGTTCCCCTGCGGTCAAGTGTCCTCTTCTGCTCCATCAGTTTTGGTTCATGTGCCACCAACATGAACCCTTAAGGCCACTATATTAGCAGGGAACATGGAGAGAGTGGGCAGTTCTCAGAGAAGAGAGCACAGGCTGGATGGGTGTCTGAAAATGTGTGTACGTAAAGGTCCAGAAATCTAGAGGCCAACAGTGAACTGGGAACTGAAGGAGGAGAGAGACTTGCCAGCATCTGAGCAAAGAAGAGGAATATTGAGCTGAGAATCATACATAAAAAGAAAAAAAACTATTAGTGCTCTTCACAGAATGTATAACAGTGTTGAACGGGCAACAATAAAAATGCATTTAGGCTTAGACTTTGTTCACACCTCTACATTTATTCTTGAACACAGTTTATTCTTTTATAGTATGTGGTGCAATGCTATAAAGTTTTTAATATTTTTCTTTAGAATTGCTCATTCAGTAATGTGTTTAGGCATTTTCTGATTGTTTTATAGGTCAGTTTTATATATGCATATGCTTGTAATTTGATCTTAAAACCCCCAGTTTCTTTGTTTTCATTTACTCTTCAGGAAGTTGGATACTGTCAGGGGATGAGCCAGATCACAGCTTTACTCCTTATGTATATGAATGAAGAAGATGCCTTCTGGGCCCTGGTCAAACTCTTCTCAGGCCCCAAACATGCCATGCATGGTAAGAAAGCCCCATAATTTATCATGTACAATAAGCAAGAGAGGGAGACAAAAGGTAAATTAAAGCACAAACTATAGAAGATGCTTGGTTAAGTACAAACACTTACTGTCTAGGGGCTCATTCAGTTAATTGGTGTTTGTTACTAATTTTTTATTTCATTCTCCTTTATTGAATGCTTCTAAATTTTTCTGGTCACATTTATATTCCTTTGTGTTTATCCCAGAGTATATTGTTGACATTTAAAAAGTATTTCTTTACATGCCCCTCCAGTCAGAATAAACTAATTTAGGTTTGGAGGAATTTAGGAAAAGCTATATTATTGGGAGAAATAAAAGATGCCTTTTGATCAAAACTTTTAGGCAGTTACACAATTATCACTTCAATGAACTGTTTATTATTTACTGGATATTGTGATATATAACTCTTTGTCACAGAGTATTCATTGAAATATGATGCTTAGGATGTTTAAAGAAAAGGTACATAATAATTAAGTAGTTTTGTATTATAAGTGTGTGTTTTAGTTCTTTCAGCCATAAAATTGATTACACTTTATGTAAAAGCCTGGTAACACATTCTGGGCACTTTTTTGGTTTTCAGGTTAGATGATTTATTTTAAAATAACCACGTCCTTATATTTGCCAAGCATGTGCAATAAACTTTATTTAAGAATTTGGATTACAACTTGTCCTGGAAATAAAAGTGATATTTGTCCATATAATGCAAAATTTTCCCCCCAGCGCCATCTATGTGATAATATAAAATTAAAAACAAAACTTAACACTAATCACTCTAAGAATGGGTCATGTAAGCTCTGTTTGTGAATTTTTAAACTTTATGTTGTTTAAAACATGTTTAAAGTGATATTTTAAAATTTTCAATAGTTCACAGTTTATTAAATCTCACATTCTTACTGTATAGTTCTTGTGGGGGTATTTTGCATGTGTGTGGTCTGTGTATGTATGCGCACATGGGCACGCATATGTGTTAGCATTTGGCTGTCTTCCTTAGTGTTACTGTGAGTTTTTTAAAATAAATACTGTCTTTATGGTAGCTGTTTCTAGACACTTTGTACCCCATGAATAGACTCCGAAAGTCTGACATATTATATTGAACTGCAATCCAATAGATAGCATTATTAAAAAAGCATCTTGAAGAAAAATAATTCTGCCTTGTTATCAGTCTTATTTGCTTTACCATGGGGTGGTGTTGCTGATATATGTTGAAGTACAGTGGAATATTATCATTTAAGTATATGTAATTATGTAGAAAACTGCCCTATTTTAGAAAATTCATTTCTTTGCATTTCATATATAAAGTATCACTTATAAATGTATACAATAAAGTGTGGGCTGAAGAAAACGATATTTAAAATATCAAGTCTGGGATATCACTGAAAAGGGAAGATATATTAGGTATCTTAGCTAGTATTTATTATTGAAGGACATTGCCTTCTTTAAAATCAGACCTCTTGAGATCCTTCCAGTTCCCATCCCTATCAAATTGACCATGAAAGTGGCACAGATAGATATATGGATTTTTTATGAAATAATTTCACTGGAAAATATTACTAGGGGAAGAATAGAATCTCTGTCTATGGAAATTTTTACACACACCTTAGAAAACTGAGAATTAGTTAAGAAATAGCCCTTTTCCAAACTATATAAAGCAGTGTTCCCCAAAAGTATGTGAGGAACATAGTTTCACTTTTGGAAAACATGCTTTCTTGGGGGAAAAGGTCTCCAAGATCAGATAAGTCTGGAAGACTGAGTTAAACAAAGAAAAATGTTTCTTTAGTCTATAAAATAACTTAGAAACATTACAAAGCTCATATGCATCATGAATATCTAAAGAGGGTATATATAACACACAGCATTGCCCTGGATTCTTTTTAAAAAAAATACAGAACATCTATTAACAAATCTATTAAGTATGTATCCTTTTGAATGGCTTGTGTAGAATATCTGAAAGGAAACTTGTGAATAAAAATAGATGTAAAGTTCCATGAATTAAAGACACAAAATTAATGCTGACTTACTATTTACAATTAGTTGCAGTCTAAAAATCTTATACATTATATTGTATAATCAGTTGAGATAAAATACCATTTTTGATGTAACATTTCGCATAGTGCCAGTATATTTTAGCTGCTGTTAAATATCAGTTATAGAAAGGATTAAAACTAATAAAAACTTTGGAAGCATGATACTAATGAAATTGTTAGAGTAAACCTTGAAAAAGTAATGAAAAGTTTGTTATATATTAACTGTAAAACAAAATGAAACAAATCAGGATTAGAATAACCTATAAAAAATTTGCACGCTTAAGATATGGCCCAATACTTTAAGAGAACAGATAATCTTGATAAACTGTTTCAGTTTTCATTTTTTCTTAACTTCTTAGTTTTCCTTTTAATTCAGAAATATTCTGTCCTCTTTTATATTTTTATAAGGTTATAGGAGATCTTTAGAAAACAAATACTGGACTACAGGTTTTATTAACTAAAGCTCATACACAATTATTTTTTTTGGTGGGGAGGAAAAATATTTTGGTAACTACTAGATTTATATTTTGTTGTTGACAATTAAAAATGAAAAAATGTATTTTAAAATAGGGATTTTTATTGGTCTTGTTTAAGAAACATTATTTTTATGTTTGTATTCTAGGCTTTTTTGTCCATGGTTTTCCTAAACTCTTGAGGTTTCAAGAACATCATGAAAAAATACTGAATAAATTTCTGTCCAAGCTTAAGCAACACTTGGTAGGTAGACGTGACATTGACTTATACCCACCTACACCAAGAATAAGGCTAGGAGAATTGAGTGCAGCCTTTGGTCCCCATTACCTTATTGATTTATAGTGTTGTCCATTTCATTTACTATGCAGTTATAATTCCCAGTTGTTTAAAGAACATTGGGTTTGTGAAATTTAATATTGATGAACTATCACAGCCCTAACTCAAATTTCTTTGAAACTAATATCTATAAACAATACAGCTTTTAAAGATATATGATAGTTCAGTAATTTCAAAGGTGTTTTTTTTTTAAAAAAGATTTTTATTGGTTTTTTAGAGAGAGAGGAAGGGAGAGGGAGAGAGAAAAACATCACTGTGAGAGCAAAACATTGATTGGCTGCCTCCTGCACACCCCTTACCAGGGACTGAGCCAGCAACTGGGGCATGTGCCCTGATGGGGAATCAAACCAGCAGCCTTTCGGTGCACGGGATGATGCCCGACCAACTGAGCCACACCGGTCAGGGCTTGAAGGTGTTTTTATTGCACAAAAGTGTTTTAGGGTCATACAAACTCATCCTTAGTGAACCATACATATATGCTCTTTGGTAAAACACAGTAGTTTAGTAAAACAAAGATACTTCACTATAAACTATAATGTATTATAATCCTATCATAAGAAGGATTTGATTTTCAAAAGTTAAAATGAGGGAGAAGGAGAGGAAGTAAGAAGAGAAAAAATAGAAATACTCTAGCAGCATGAAAAAAGATTTGTAATGAGATGGCTTTATGTGTAGCTTTGACAGTTACTTCCTACAGCCATCCTAACTTTTAGTGTTATATGTCATATTTTGTTTGCTACAGTCCAGAAACTATGAAATTTTGTTTTTTCAGGATTCTCAAGAAATCTACACAAGTTTTTACACAATGAAATGGTTTTTTCAATGCTTCCTTGATCGTGTGAGTATTTAATTACAAAACCCAATCATAAAATGATAAATATCAGACAGGGCAAACTATTAATCTTATTTCTGTTTTGTTTTTAATTCTAGACTCCCTTTACGCTAAACCTCAGAATATGGGATATCTATATCTTTGAAGGAGAACGAGTTCTGACTGCTATGTCTTATACAATCTTAAAATTACACAAAAGTAAGAAAATGTTTAACTATAAAGATTTCACAAAAATCTAGCCATGTTTTAACTCTCATTTCTCATTTCCCTCTCAACTTCATTTTCTTTTAGTAGTGAGTTTAAAAATTCCTGAAAATTAGTGAACAAATTATCTTTAGTTGGTAATTTACTTTCATTGGTTCTTATGACTAGAAACTTACTTCTTTAGAAAGGTCTTTGATTCTTTATTTCAGTTTTATTTTCATACTTAAACAATAGAATGCAGTGTGCTGGTTTTTTAATAATATTAATCTTATTAAGTATTTGTTTCCACTGGGACCCTCTTCTTCCTTTTCATCAGTCTGAATCTCAGCTTTGCAATAGGAGACGAGAGACCAAAGAAACCAGGCACCTTAGTCTAAAGGTCTAGAGAGGACATGTTCCGTTACTGTTTCCTTTTTCCAGGAAGAAAGCATCCAGCTCCAAGGTATAGAGCAGAGATGGGGAACCTCCAGCTCATCTCTCTGCTTGGCTGCATTGTGGCCTTTGGGGCAAGTACAGCCCATGTCAATAATTGCCTACATGCAACAAGGCTTTAAAAAAGTCTGTAGTTGCAATATTTCAAGGGCTTAGTAAATTTGATGTGCTATGCTTTATTTTAAAATCAAGAAATGAGAGTTTTTCTTCATGAAATGAACTTTATTCATCTTACTATCTCAATTCAACCTTAAAAATTATGTGAATCCTTTTGTAACTATGCAGAGGAGAGAATCACTGAAAGCTTTAGAACTGCATGTGCACTTCTAATTAGGCCACACAACATTGTTTCACATTCATGTATTCACTCTCTTATGTTGTTCTCGAATGATTCATCTGTTCAGCTTCCCAGCTAAATTATAATCTAATTGAGTACTTGGGGTCATGTTTTGTAGTTTTTTTCCCTGCTGTGCTTGGTGTTGTTCTAAGTACATGTTAGATACTTTAGTATAAGATTGCTTGATTGCTTACCTGAAAAGCATGGATTGTCATGAGCACCAGATTATCCAAACTTTAGACAGGAATGAAAACCCCCTTTAAAATCATATTTGTATTATTTACTCTGAAAGGAAAGGATTCAGAAGTGTTGTGATTTGTTTCTCTTATACCTAAATCCTTACTCCCCCAACACGCAAACACAGCCCCAACCAAAACAATTGACAATGAATTGTCTCCAAGACTGTCCTGTAACCACAGGAAGTCAGTCAGTCTCTCTCAGTTTCTCTCAATCTCTCTCTCCCCTCCCCCTTCCTCTTTCTGGATTATGAACTGGCCGAGATATAGAACAAAAGTATACTTTTTATTAAGATATATACTAATTAGTTTAATTTTCCTAAACATGAGGAGTAGAAACATGAGATTCTATTTCTCTATAGCTCTCCTCCCCCTCTTAAAGTATGTTTTACTTATATGACTCTTGATTAATTTTGACAAGTAAAAAGTTTCTTTACCCTTTATGTAAATAACTTTAAGTGTAACAATTACTTATTATGCTATCATTTCATTGGACTAAAGCTGTAGGAAAAAGCCTATCTGCTGCTGTGTATTTGTTCTTAGTTAGGAAGAGAAAGCTCAAAGACCTAGGGAAAGTTCCTTCAGTGCCTTATAAAGCTTCAGAAACTGTGTCTGGGCCCCTTAACCAATAGTTAGTTGAAGCTCCCAAGATTTTCTTTTGCTTATTTCCTGATTGCCTTAACAATATTAAGGGATACTGATATTGGAGGTTCACCACACAGTGGTTTTAAACAGTAACAAAAAAGAAAAAAAAGAAAAAGGAACAACCGAAATGCCCAATATTAAAAATTTTAGTGCATGCATACAATGAACTCTTATAGTTATTAATAATGATGGTATACAGTTACACTGGTTGAAATAAGGGATATCAGTGGTATAGATTACTGAGGGGAAAATACAAGGCGATAAATAGCATGGAAAGTGTAATTTACTTTTTAAATTAATATACATATACACACATCTCCTTATAGGACAGTTGCTAGTGGGATCTTAGCTGATTTTTACTTTCTGTTTTATATCTGTAATTTGAATTTTTTCTGATAAAATTAATTTCATAAGTGGAAATGTAAATAAAATTATAATCCATATTTTGTTTGAAATTCTGAAACAGTAAAATATAGACCTAAAAGTAGGTTTGGAGCTCCATGTCAATAAAACAGAAAGACCTCATTTTAGATGGTCTATGTCTATTGTCTCTAAGAAGCTCTTGCTCTAGGTTAATGTTAATGCCTAGGTATGGTTATTCGTAAACCATGAGAAGGTATTTAGTAGTATTCAGATCCCCATCCACCACTGTAAGAGTACCTGCTTTTCTCCATGACTGCTTTAATATCAGAAAATATTTTTGTTGCCCCATCAGCATGGATCAGTGGTTGAGCATTTACCCATGAGGTTGATCATGGTTTGATTCCTAGTCAGGGCACATGCCTGGGTTTTGGGCTTGATCCCCAGTAGGGGGTGTGCAGGAGGCAACCGATAAGTGATTCTCATTATTGATGTTTCTATCTCTCTCTCCCTCTCCCTTCCTCTCTGAAATCAATAAAAACATATTTTTTAAAAAGAAAATATTTTTGTCATACTGAGTTTCAGTGATATTCACAATACCATATTTAATTTGTTTGTTGTGCCCCTTAAAAAAAAATACTACACTAGAATAGAATACATTATCTTCTCACCCTAAAGTAGCTGTTGACATAGCATGTTTATTTCATCCTTTCTTAGAACATTTAATGAAATTGTCTATGGAAGAACTTGTAGAATTTCTTCAGGAGACCTTGGCAAAGGACTTTTTCTTTGAAGATGACTTTGTAATAGAGCAACTTCAGATTTCTATGACAGAACTAAAGCGTGCAAAATTAGACCTTCCAGAACCTGGTAAGAAATATCCAAACACTTTATATCTATAATTGGAAGATACAGCACAATTAACATGAGCTATTTCTGTTTCAAACATAAGTATTATACATGCTTGTGATGACATAATGAAAATCAGTGTTTTAATAGCTATTTATGACTTTATCCTTATTTTAAGAAAAAGCAAATAAATGCGTTAATTAAATCTGCCTCTCCTAATAGAATAACTATACTATCTATACTTAAATGTATAAAGTTTGGTTGACAAGTAATACTATTCAACAGAAGTAACCATGTGGCTTTAAACTAGCATAATAATAAGCTCTTTTTACTTTCATCGTTTCAATTTGTGAAACCATATGCAGTAGCAGAGCAAACGAGGGTCCCATTTTATAGAAAAGGAAACCGATACTAAAGTGCTTAAATATGAAGCTACAGAACCAGCAGACGGCATTATTGACAATAGAATCCAAGTTTTTTGACTGCCAATCCAGGGCTCTTTGCAGAATATTGCACTGTAAGATAATATATTTTACTTACTTATTTCATGACATCTATACCTGCTATTAGGTTTTCGGCTAAGTGCTGTGCCAGGGATGAGCAACTGAAAAGAAGACAAACTTCTTGCTTTCAGGGCTCACACAGGAGATACGGGATTTACATAAAGATAGATTGTGAAGGGGTAATAATAGAGCTAGAGAGTTAGAGGACACATGGGGAAGGGTTAGAGGAAGGGTAGTGGAGAATGATAGGGAAGAAAAAAGAAAATGTGGAAAGATCACAGTAGGAATAACTTTTAAGAGTTTTGACTAGATATTACTTGACAATTATGGTTTCCTGGACAAAAGTTATTCTGCCCTTTTCCTTTCTTTGTTGCATGGATTGTGTGGGAAGGGAGTAGGGAAGTGGAAGGCCATGGTGAGAGTTGAAAAGTAAATGAGGTCAGTTATGTATGCCCTCAGGTGCAGTTGGATTTAGCATTTCCAGCCATTGTGGCCCATGCTTTGATGTCTTCTTGGACGTGTTTGTACAGAACAAGCAGAAGTACATTTATAAAAAAGCACATCTTTTCCCCTTTGGTAAAAGCCAAGATGCTCTGCTTTTACTTATTAATTGCAGGAGGTGTAATCAGTAGTGTTTCTCTGAAGTTTGTCTGGGTCATCAGAGTTCAGTAGAAAACAAAACATTACAGCAGTGATCGAGTGTGGGCACAGAAACCATCACCTTTCCTAAGTGAGGTCAATCCTCTCTTGTTCAGTATGATAATGTCCATTTTCTATTAATTCTTTCCTGTAGCAGGGAATGCGTTTGGTACACAGTTACTAACTACATCCTGCTACTTTAACATTCATAAAAGAGTTTAAGACAAGTTTTAGTAAAAGTAATACAGAGAAAAAAATGCATAGAGTAGAACTGTTTAAACATGAGAATAAAATATCAAAACCTGTATAATTCAGCATCTAACTAGTAGTTAATATTTACTGAATGCTGACTGTGTGCCACCTACTGCATGCACTCTCATTTAATCCCTAAAAACAAAAGGAAGTCCTTGCCCTCATTTTATACATGAGGAATTGTGCAGCCCTTTTAAAGATCTTTTTACTAGGAAACAGTAGGAGGGTGGATCGGGAGCGTAAAGGAGAGGGATAGATAAATAAGACCAGAAACATTTGCTAAATTTTGCTCTGATCATACTGGCAGTTAAGGCTGAGTGTGGTCAGGTGGCTGCTCACTTTGTACAACAACAATCTGTCTTTCATCTGTATTTCTACTACAGCATTTCCTTTTTGGACTTTTTGTCCCACAGCCTGCCCATTGTTATCCTCTTTACATTATTATAAGCTAAAAACAGAACATTGAAAGAATTAAATGAACATTATAACAAGAAATTTTAGTATCACATGTATAGTTTTAAAAAACCTACTTGAGTATGTTATTTCTGTTTGGCTCCTTACATACTGCATCAGCATGAACTCTCACTGGTGATGTGTGACGGGGCTTGTTTTTAGACCCACACAAGCACATGGTAGTACTGTTAGATTTTTATTTTTTTTGCTGGTTGGATAGAATATTTCATTGCTGTTTTGATTTGCATTTCTTTTATTTCTATCAAGTATCTTTCTTTTGTATTAATTGGGCATTTTATTTATTTTTCTGTAAACTTCCCTGTTCATCTTCTGCCCATTTTTCTTTGGCCTATTAATACATGTTCTTGATAAGTTAAGGAGATTGGCTAGTTTAATATATGTGTTGCAGATGCTTTTCTTATAGAATCTAAAAAATTTTAATTAGTGTTTTTCTTTATGGCATCTCACTTTTGTGTCTTATGTAAAGGATTTTCTACATGCTGAACGAAAACTTTTTTACTTACCTGTGAAAACTTTTTTCTCTTACAGGTTTTATGCTTTTATTTTTTATGCTTAATTCTTTAATTATCTAGAATTACTTTTTGTTGCAAGAAGGATATAGAGACTCAGCTTTGCTTGTAGTGTACATAACTAGCCATGTGGCTTAACAGCCTCTTGTGATTTGAGATGCCATCTTTGTCATGTAATAAAATCCCGAAAATGTCTATCTTAGCATTTTATTATGTTCCATCGACCTCGGCTTTTCCAATTACAAACAATTTTAATATCTATTGGGGCTAATTTTCCCTCATTACTTTGTGTTATTTTGTCAAGTTAACAAAAAAAGAACCACTAGTATTGTCATTAAGATTACATTGAATTTAAAAATTAATGAGAGAAAATGGATATTTAAACGACAGGATTTTTCTAAATATAAGCTTTTATTTTTCAGTTGTTCAAGTTTAATGTTAATCAGTGAAATTTGTTTTCTCACATGACTGTTATACATTTCTTGCCACCCGCCCAAACCCCTCCTCCCGTAGGTGATTTTACACTCCTCATTGCTCTGCTAAGGTGAGCTCTCCATTTTTTCTAACTGGTTAGGAAAACTTTTGGTATATTAACAAAATATTTTTATTTTTATTGTGGTAAAATACACATAACATAAAATTTACCATCTTAACCATTTTTAAGTGTACACTTAAGTGGTATGAAACACATTCATAATGTTGTACAATCATCACCACTATCTTGTAAATCTGAAACTGTACCTATTAATCAAGACCTCCCCATTCCCCTCCGAGCCCCTGGAAACCGCCAGTCTACTTTCCATCTATGATTTGGACGACTCTAAGTAGCTCATATAAGTGGAATAATACAGTATTTGTCTCTTGTAGATTGGCTTATTTCACTGAGCATAATGCCCTCATGGTTCATCCATGTTGTAGCCTGTGTCAGAATTTTCTTCCTTTTTAAGCCTGAATAGTTTCCCATTGTGTGCATAAACCACATTTTGCTTATCCATTCAAGATGGACACTTGAGTTGCTTTCACATTTGAGCTGTTGTTAAAAATGCTGCAATGAACATGGGTGTCCAAATATCTCTTCAAGACCTAGCTTTTAATCCTTTTGGGTATATACCCAGAAATAGATTTACTGGGTTATATTGTATTTCTACTTTTAATTTTTTGAAGAATTACCACACTATTTTCCACAGCAGCTGCACCCTTTTACATTTCTACCAACAATGCCCAAGGGTTTAAATTTCTCCACATTCTTGCCAATATTTCTTTCCCTTCAGTAGCCATCTTGATTGGTGTGAGTTGGTATGTTATTGTAGTTTTGATTTACATTTTCCTAATGATCAGTCAGTTGAGCATCTTTTCATGTGCTTATTGGTCATCTGTATATTTTCTTTGGAGAAATATTTGTTCAAGTCTTTGCCCATTTTTGAATTGGGTTATTTGTTTTTTTTCTTGTTGAGTTTTAGGAGTTCTCCCTGTACTATGGATATTAATTCCCTTATCAAATATATGATTTGCAAATACTTTCTCTCATTCTATGGCTTGCCTTTTTACTCTGTGGATACTGTTTTTTTGATTCACAAAGTGTTTTAATGTTTATGAAGTCCAATTTGTTTTTCCCTTTGTTGCCTGTGTCTTTGGTGTCATACCCAAGAAATCATTGCCAAATCCAATGACATAAAGCTTTGTTCTATGTTGTCTTCTAAGGGTTTTATAGTTTTAGGGGTTACATTTAGGTCTTTAATCCATTTTGAGTTAATTTTTTTTCATGGTATTAGGTAAGGATTCAACTTCATTCTTATGCATGTGCATAACCAATTTTCCCAGCAACATGTGTTGAAAAGACTGTCCCTTTTCCATTGAATGGTCTTGCCATCCTTGTCAAAAATCATTTTACCATATAGGTGAAGATATACTTCTGGGTTCTCTGTTCCATTCTATTGGTCTTAAAGTGGATATCTTTATGTTAGTATCACTTTATTTTGACTAGTATAGCTTTGTAGTGAGTGTTGAAATCAGAAAATGTGCATCCTCAAGCTTTTCAAGATTGTTTTAGTCCATATAAATTTTAGGATGTTTTTTTTTAGCTCTGCAAAAAATGTTATTGGAGTTTTGATAGAGATTGCATTAAATCTGTAGATTACTTTGGATGGTATTGACATCTTAACAATATTAAGTCTCCCGATTCATGAATGTGGGATGGAATTTAATTTATTTATGTCTTAGCTCGTCTCTTTCAACAGTATTTTATAGTTTTCATTGAACATGTCTTTCACCTCTTTAAGTTCATTCCTAAGTATTTTATTCTGTTTGATGCTATTGCAAATGGAATTGTTTTGTAATTTCCTTTTCAGATTGTGTATTTTTAGTATATAGAAATACAGTTGACTTTTGTGTGTTGACTTTGTGTCCTGCCACTTTGCTGAACTCGTTTATTAGCTCTAACAGATTTTTGTTGTATGTGGAATCTTTAGAGTTGTCTACACATAAAATCATATCATCTGTGAACAGAGATAATTTTACTTCTTTTTTTCCAATTTGGATGCCTTTTATTTATTTTTCTTGCCTCTGTGCCCTGGCTAAAATTTCTGGTACTGTGTTGATTAGAAGTGGTAAGAATGGGCATCCCTTTCTTATTACTGATCTCAGA